CTCTCTCTCTCTCTCTCTCTCTCTATCTCTCTCTCTCTCTCTCTCTCTCTTCATTGGTCTCTCTTACTCGCTAGCCGCTACCGTTAGGCCAACGGAACTCATCCACCAATTCATCACCTGCAGTTTTCGATGTCCGATTCTCGCACGAGCGTGTCGTCTGCTTTGTACACCTGTGTCGGGTTGGGTAGGGGGCGCGCGGATGGCGGCGGCAGCGGGTGGGGCGGGGAGAGAGAATATGGCGAAAAACATTCAACGCGCACCCGGACGCCATAGCACAACGAGGTCTACATTGAAGAACACTAACCAGATACTAGGCCCTACATACAGAAAATTTGAGTAACATGCTGGCACCCAACCTTCCGAGAGCGCTTCGAGCTGCTTTCACGAGGAACAGGTCACCAAGGAATGGGGCCACGGGGGTCAGCGCTGTTCGCTAGTACAAAATAGCGGCGTTCGTGGCCCCCCTTCTCTTGCAAAAGGTGAACCACTTCCCTCCATTACGTGTATCTAAGTAGCGATCGGCATCGATCGAGGGGTCGCTCACACGTGAAGGGGCCGCAGCGGAGCGTACAAACGCGGCTCTCACTCTCACGAACTCGAGGCGAGGCTTACCTAGAGTTGTTGCGCGAAACGTGACAATTCGAAACCCACCCACATCAACAACCAATATCGACCTTATTATTCTTGGTTTTCCCGTGCAAACTACAACGATTTTGGTGGCCCAAATGCGAGGCCAATGGAAGAGGAAAATGTTGTCGCCTCTCTCCTACCGTGTGTGTAGATTAGGGGGGGATGACCGGCGAGGGTCGCAGGGAGGTGCGAAGAAAGAACCAAGGTCCAGAATTTTGGCTACCCCCTTCCACGTTTCCCGCCAGCAGCAGATAGAAAACGTACGTGTTGGCATGTGTGCTCAGCAAGGTCGTCGCGCACGGGAAGATGTGCTGGCTGGGGCTGCTACTGCCATTGCACGTAGTTATGAGCCTCGCCACAGACACACCGCCACACGAGTTGCAGGGGTCCGTCTATCCATGTCTCCGAAAAAATGTGCTGGTCATGCGGACGACGCCACCGACGGCGACAGCAGGGCAAACCTTCCATCACCGGAAACAAAAAGCACGACGACTCCCACACAGCTTGCTGCTTGTCTGAGAGAACCTTGATGCCAAAGCCAGCAGCAAATCTACCATAGCTCTGCAAATGACCCTCGCACTGCCGGTATTTGTGATGCCATCCCATGTCAATATTAACTCAGACCCGTGCCTTTCCGGAAGGGGATGTGGACTCCATCAGCCGCAGGTGAAGGCAACAGAGAGAGAGAGAGAGAGAGAGAGAGAAGGTTTGGTATCGTACCGTATGTTGCTTGTCGACTCAAAAACGGTGCTGTTCTCATCGCTGCTGCTGCTGCTGCTGCTGCTGCTGGCGAAAAACAGCATGGTACATGCCCATGGGCGATGCCTATTGGCGATGCCCATTTTCCTAGCTTTCTCGGTGTCGTTCCGATACGTACCAAAAGCCTTTCCACAACACACGTGGCCCTGCGACATTTCGAAGGCATCGTTGACCTTCTTGTGCCGACAGCTACTGCTGCCGCTGTGGAGGCTGTAATTTGAACGTCCTGCTTGCAAAACGGTGGCGTTCCGCTGCGCTGTGTAGAATGCTCTCGTTCGTGAGTGCGCAGCGCCCGATTTCGTTGTCGGGGAGGGGCTGGAGCAACGCCAAACCGCCGTCGCGAAACTCTACACTGCATACACTCGCTAATCCGAGACGTTCATGATATCACGATACACGACTCCTTACTGTCATTATTAAGATTAATCATTAAGTAGAGATGCTTGAAATCAAGGTTGCATCGGCATGACCTGGCGGTGTCTAGGTCGCGCGCGTGTGTGCGCCCTGCGACGCGCTCTCCCCACCCCCCGAACCCTCCCAGCCCCCCTTCCTCGTCCCACGAGCAAGTAAAATAGACTACTGTGGCGACAACGAGTACTCGTAGTATTGGTTTGCATTAATGTAGTTACAGTAGAGGTTCCTGTTTAGTGCCGAGGTGTGCGCAAAAATTTCACCGGCACTATACCGGGCACCGGCACTATTCAAAGTACAGAACGACTTGATATTCCAGTGTGTGCGAGCCGAAAACACCGGCACAATACCGGCAACCGGCACTATTCGACCGGCACTAAACAGGGACCTCTACTGTGTAATAGACTTGAAGACCAACACAAAAACAAAATCAAAAGATATGCCTCCATGGGTGTGCCTGAAACCAACCCTTTCCCCGCGTACCGGAACAAGAGCAGTCTACCCCGCGCCCGGCCCCTCCGTATTGAATTTTGCGTAGTTTCCAGCATCATCAGCAGACACATTTATATGGGGCACGCGCTCGATGATGTGTTGCGCACGAAGGCCAAAATTCAAAACCACATTTGATTTTGAGAAAAACCGTCCTGCCATTCCCTCGTCATTCAAAATGCATTTTTCTTCGACGAGAATCATGTGCCTCGTGCGGACCAAAGACGCTGGGTCGGCGTGGCGTGAACTTCCCCGCGGGACGCCCAGAGAGGATTAAAGGCGTGGTTTGAGGGCGAACGGGGAGGCAGGCCTCTGACGATGCGAAACATGATCCACATCATTCCAGAAGCGCGTGGCATCCGACAACAACGTGTTTTTTCTTTGACCTGCTCTTTCGTATGTATGACAACGTAGACGCGGTGAGAGATATCATACGCATGAACACATCTTCTTTCTTCGTACCTTCTCGCCTTTGGGGCTGGGCCCCGAGCCTTCCCCAGTGGCGGCCGCCAGTCTGACGGCACTACGGCAGCGGCTCCACCTGGTGAGCCCGCCCCTCCTTCCTCCTGCTAATGCTGCTGCTGCTGCTACTGCTGCTGCTCCGTTGCCCCTGCTCCTGCTGGCAGCCGCCGCGATCCGCTGTTGCGCTGGCGCAAACGTCAGGTTCAACAAGAAGGCGGACGAAAGCATCGGTGATAGCAGCAGGCAGCCGAGAGTCATCAGCCTGTTACTCGACAGGCGCCTCAGCCTCGCCATGTCGGCGCCTAGGCTGGCTTGGAGAAGCATCATGACTTGAATTGGGCTGTCACTGGTCAAGCCGACAGGCAATCGCAATGATTTCCTGGTTTCAGTACCCCCCCCCAATATTCCCAAGTTTTGTCAAATGACACCCCCCCTTCACGAATGTAATGTTCCGTCTGTTTGCCCTTGCTGCTTGAGGGAGCGTTGCACACGGAGCAGCAGCAGTGCAGCCTTCACGCACGGCCAGACAGAACAGCAGAGAGAGAGAGAGAGAGGGCATCAGGATGGCGATCAAGCGGACCATACAGGCTGCCGCGGTGCTCTGCTACCACACGGGTGCCACGGCTTTCCTCGTCTCTACCTCCTCGTCGTTGTTGAGCCGACCGTCTTCCGCAGCAACAACGGCGGCGCATGTTTCCGCTGTGCGACACCGGCGGTGGCAACAGCAGCAGCAGCGGACTGCGAGAGGAGCGACCGGGCTTCGCGCGGCAGAGGGGGAGGAGGAAGGGCTGAGCGATGAGGAGAAGCTCAGGAGATCGCGCCTGGCCGAGGACTTCGGAGCCAACGTCGAGGTCGACCCGAAGCGCGTGGCCGTGCTCTTCGACTTCGACGGCACCATCGGGGATACGGAGACGCCGGCGATGGAGGTGGCCTACTGGGAGCTCGCCCCTTACTTCCCGGAAGCCGCCAGTGAGTGCTACTGGCTTGACTTGTTGTACGACTCCTCATGATGGGTTTTTGTGTTGGCAAAGGAGGATTCTGTGGTTATGGGAATATAAACAGGGCTCAAACTGCATGATTGCCTCCACGTGATCCGCGGCAGCAGTGATGTATGTGGCGGTTGGGCCTCGAATGTACCAAATGAATGCTTGTTTAGTGCTTGAGTGGAGCACGCCCTGTTCATTTATGTGCAAAGATGGGACGACAGAGTGCGTTGTCCCTTAGACCGGGGTACGTAGGCGGCAACGCTTCCACTTTGCTTTGCCAACATACTGCTGTTCTCACTCGGTGGAAACATGCCCGCGGGCATACACATTTGGATTGTTCGGATTTACGTTACCGTAGTCTTCAAGTACAAGCAGTAGTTCCCAAGCTGGCACCACGGATGTCACATGTAGGCTCAGTACTGCTGTTGGTGTGCATAGCTGCGCAAGCACCCTCATCCATATGCATCAGTCATTATCTCATGTTTCGTCAAGTCCACGGGGGTTATGGAGGTCTGAGTAGCCCACGAAGCAAAGCATCAAGGTTGAAACAACAGCATGACCAACAAAGCATGCAGGTATCAACGTCATACGGATGTTCCTGCCCTACACCGCCGTCGAGTCGATCTCTGCCCCGCCATCGTATGCCCTGGTTTAAGAAGCTCCAAGCTACGCGCGCATGTTTCCGCTCGCGATCTATCTCATCATTGTGGGTCGTTGGCCGCGCGACCAGCAGCGTTGCGGCAACTCACCCACCTGTGTGAGGGAATAGTTGAGCCCCGATCGCCCCGGGCGGTATTGAAAATGTCACCGACAGTTTCGAGGAAGAAATGCTTGCAGGCCGTGTTATTCCCAGTCGCGGGTAGACAAAAAATGTGCTTCCTGGTTGCCCTCGCGAGTGTCTAGGTTTAGGATCACGTTGTCACATTGAGGAGCGATGGGTCGGTCGGTCTCTCTCCGGTTCGACCGCCCCTCCAACGGGAGTAGGCACTAAAACGTGGTAGCTGGTAGGAAGCGATCATCGCCAGGCGCAGCCTCCTCTCCCCCCCCCCCGTGGCGAACGGCAACCACAAGGCGAACGGTAGTTGCTCGTCCTGCTGAATCCCGAGCCGGCACATTCTGATACGACACAACCGCATCCTCGTTCCCACTTTACGCCGTCGGGAGCAGAGGGTGGCGAGCTGACGGACCTTACGGAGTACGTGCGCAACAACGCGGGGAAGGCCTTCGAGTTCATGCTGGAGGTGGTGGAGGCAGACCGAAAGGCGCAGGGGTTGCCGGACATCGCCACGGCCCGGGCAGAGGGAGCGGAGGACCCCAAGGTGCAGACTCGCCTTGCCGCGTTCGGCGGGTTGCGTAAGATACCACACCCCCTCCTTGAAAAGCTCGATGTCTCCACGATAAGGAGGGGTGCAGCAATCACATGACGCGTTTTCGGAAAAGCTCTTAGCGAGGTGGTTCCATCGCCGCCATGTTCGGACGTTTGTGCTGCCGACTAATCGAGCTCTGGGACGTCGGTCCAGGTTGTGTGATATCTCATGCAACCAGTGCATTATCGGCCTCCCGCCCATAGAACCCCCTCACCCCTGTCTCGCGTTTCTGGTCCGAGTTGTTTATGACGTTTTGGCGAAATCCAATTCGGCGTACCGTTTTGCGCGAAACCAGCAGTTCCGGGTGCGCGTGCTTTAAACCTTTGGCGTATCAGTTCACCCGCCGTCCGTGATGTGATCTCTACGGCGGCCGTGCGAGGAGGGGAAGGCAGGGGAAGGCCCATAGTTGGTTGTGCGGAAGACATGTACACCCCTCTTCTCCGTGTTTTTGGGGCACACTTTGGCTGGACGGCATGAAGCTCCTTGTCTTTCCGTCTTCCACGGCATTTGTTTGTCTGTTGTGTCCACGGCGGTACTCCCGTGGCGCTTCGGGATTACTCCACCCCTACGACAACGGGCCGCTCAACAACATGGGCAGAAGCCAATGCCCTTGTCCGCAGGCCGGCCGACGAGAAATTTTCTATCTCTCGAAGGCTGATTTTCTCTGTATGTAAATAAAGCGCAGCCGATACCATGCCAACGGATGCGTACGAGTAACATGCCCGCCTCCCACTACTGGCGACCCCCACCTCCTCTCAAAAGATCATGAAGGTGGTCGACGAGGCGCGGGTGAAGTACGGCCTCAAGCCGCTGGGCGAGCTCCGAGCTGCCGGTACCCTAAAGGACATCCTTACCCAGCAGAAGGAAGAGACCGTGGACGCCCTGAGCGTTGTGGCCCGCCCCGTTGAGGTGCGGTAATGAAAATGAAAAACGGTGGACTTTGGTTTTTATGGAAGAAAGCGTTGTGGCACGCTTTGGAGCAGTGGCTCCGAGCACGTGTAGTCTCTTGCTGGCTTTTTTAGCCATGAGTGTCCCGGGCGAGCGCGCCGACGTCCACTTCCTCAGGAGCCTCACTGCCCAGATGAGCGCGGACACCTCCGGCACTGCTGATGCAAGAGTGGCCTGTTGTACGGTTGGCGGGGGCTCACCAGCTTCAATGGCAGCCCCGGTGACGTCCGGTGGGGACCCAGGGTTGGGAAACCTGGCACCGCCGGTACCGCCTGCGGGCACAGGTCTCGTGTGGGTCACATCCCTTTGATGTTTGTCATTGTCTTTGGGTGGTACGTGTTTTCGTTTGACAATAAACACCATGAAACGAACAGAGCGCCCTATCCCGGACAGCTGTGACCGACCGCATGGCGCATATGCGTGTGTGGCTGGTTTCTATTGGCTGCCACCTTTGTTTAGGGAATGGTGGACACGCTGGATGAACTGAAGGCCAGAAAGATCCCGTTCGCGATCGCCACCACCAGCCCCAAGCCGCGAGTCCCCGCCTCCGTGCATGCCTGCGGCCTGGACGAGTACTTCCCGGCGGACAAGATCCACTCCGGAGAGAGCGACTTCGACCCACCCCGCTTCAAGCCCGACCCGTCGGTGTACTTGAGGGTGAGACATGTATAGGTGTTGGCGGTTGTCCTCAGGCCGCAGAACTGCTGAGGAGGGAGAGAGAGGGGTGGGGGGGATGGTTGTTCGGATAGATTGGTGTGAAGAAGAGGGGGAGGAGGACTTGAGAGAGATTGTGAGACCGTTGACTGCGACTACTATTAGGCGCCATATATTTCGGCGCTCGTTGAATGTTTTTGGACATAAATTGCAGAAGGGAAGGGTTGCTGTGTTTCGGGAAATGGTAGAGATCCAATTCACGAGCATGGGAGAGCCAAGGGAGAAGACGAGACTTGTTCACCATGTGGGAAGAAAAAGTCTGTGATGTGTGTGTGATGTGTTCCAGTTATACCATGTGGGAAGACAAAAGTGTGATGTGTTAGGTGTGTGATGTGTTCCAAAACAGCTGTGGTACACGAAAGCCCCCCCCCCCCCCCCCCCCCCCCCCCCCCCCCCCCCCCCCCCC